CAGTTTTTTGTGATAACCACCTTCCTAACTTTTCTACGTCAGAATCAATATCCTTTCGCAGTTCAAGATCCTGGTCCTCACCTCCATGGTCTTGCTCCCCCCCTACCTCTGCAACCTCCTCACCCTCTACCAACCTGCTCACTCCCTCCTCTCAGCAGACTCCGGCCTGCTTCGCGTCTCCCGTCGCGCCTTCCCCACTATTGGCGAGTGGGCCTTCAGCCATTCTGCCCCCACCCTCTGGAACTCCATCCAGCAATCCCTCCGCCTCACCCCTTCCCTTGCCTCCTTCAAGACCTGTCTCTTCGACCGTGCCTTCGGTCACGCTCCTTCCCCCTCTCCGATTCCAACCCCCAGCTCGGGTTCGAATCACTGATTGTCCAGCGCCTTGGGACGTCCTCCCGATGTGAAAGGCGCTATACTCATGTAATTTTGTTGTTGTAGTGGTTGGAACGGTCTGGAGGCTGACTTCAGATGATCACCAGATTATACTCTAGTGAGATTACAGTCAATAGCTCCAGTGTGGAGCTAGCACTAGCAAGAGACACAATGGTCCAATAGCTTTCTTCTATGCTGTAAACTCTCTGTGATTGCATTCCTCAAGTCAAATTGGAAAAATGTATATTCCGTGAGTTCTGATAAATGTTCCCTGTTTGTACCATGTTCTTATTGTAAGATGAGCTGTCAAGTAACTGTTCCCCATTTGTGTTACTCAAGCACAGTAATAGCCACGTGCTCAACGATGCCTGTCCATCTGATCTGCTGTGTTACTGCAGATATGATTCATCTTGGCAGGTTTGGCAACTGATATGTGTTTTGGAGGGGAATGCTGAAGTTTTCATCACCACACAGTCACATAAAGGGCCATGATCATTGTTACGAAAATGGGAGCTCAGTGTTCTTTTCTTCAGGAGATGGGTCACTGCTCACGGCAGCATGCCTTTTACTCCTCGGACTGGGCTCTGTGGTTTTTAGTATATTTGAGCCTTGTTCACTCATTTATTTTAGGCATCTTCAAACAACGATTCCAAAATCTGTCAAAGTGAAGTCAGATGAGCATGTACAGGATTGGTGGATTTCATTTGCTAGAATTGCAGTGGTATTTACAGCAGCAGTTTCTGTTCTGAGAATAGAAGAGGCAAACTGAATAGAATTCTAACCCAAATAATCCATTTTGCAGCTTTTCAACCAGTCACTCAAAATGTTAAACCCGAAATTATAGCTCAGCTTGAAAGCTTTGTGAGAAATAGCTTTTTGTATCTGAACTGAGTTTACCACACCGAATCATTACCTTTAAAAGCTTTGCATCAATAATTTGAACATTGTGCCTTTCTTCTGTCACCGGGCATCAAAATAAATTCTATATTTTCCACTTGTGCACTTAAGACGAGTTTAAACACACACATTTGCAAATGCCAGGTATTTGTAATAGGCAAATGCACTGACACGTTGCTGTAATCTTGCATGTCTCTTACCTGTAACTTATTTATCAAGTCCTTTTTTTTGTTGTTGCTTTTTATATTTATTGTGATTTTCATTCAATCATTTTTTAAACTCTTCAAGCATCAATCTGGCAAATAGGTTTTTTGTTGCTTAAAAGCAGCTTGTTCTATTCACAAGAGGTAATTACCACTTACTGCCTGCATTAAAGTTATTCACCCATTGTTTGATTTCTGCTGATTTGTGCAGGGTTTGTGAGCAATGGGACATTTCTGTAAAAGGGGGTGCCGTTTGGAATTAACTCTGCGAGAGGCTTGAAATGAGCATGACGCAGTATTGCTTCTTTTTTTGCATTTTTATTAATATAAGGTGACAGACTGGAAAAATGTCCATCTCTGCTGCTGATCCCATGGTATAACATTTTATGGAGTATATTGCTGCACATCCATTTAGCATTTGCATTTATTTATGGCAATGCAATAAATATCATTTATTGATTTTTCCCTCATCCCCCATCATTATAATAGCAGTACAATTAGCGAGAATATGTGGTGTGTAATGTGATAGTTATCACCAGAACAGAAGTAATGGTCCTTTTTGTTCCTTGCCTAATGACTGCCTGAGCTGAACACTGCTCTGGTTTTTCCCCCCAGGTTTTTTGAGCTCTGGATCACCGCCATCTTGAATTTAAAGAATGGAGGAATTTTCTTTTTGAATTTCACTGCTTGAAGAGCTTCTTAACTTCAGCTTTTTAATTATAGAATTATTCGAGGCCATGATCTGGGGAAAGAGCAAGGAATCTGCACTCTCCTGGCTCCATTGTAACGTTTTCCTGACGAGCCCAATAAACCAGACTCTGCATGCCGCAGGGAGCGACCATTCTCCAACGCGAGAGGGGGTTCAGATCAGATCCCAACCATTTGACAAATCCTGCATAAACAGGGTTGTGCATTCTGTATCATTTATTGGTATTACACAGATAGGCACATCTTATTGACAGTATCATGGGATACATGATAATAATAATAATCCTCGCATTTGATATCGCGCCTTATCATGTCTTTGAGATGTCTCAAAGCGCTTCACAGAATATGCTGTAAAGTGAATTGACTGAATATTTGTGAGCGAAACGCAGCAGCCAGTTGCGTACAGGAGCGTCCCACAAACAGTTGTAACTTGAGTGACCAAATTTTTTTTCAAGGGATTATTACAACTGAAAAAGCGATCTGCCAATTGACTACCAACTGGGTTCCTACTTACTGCTAGGTATACAGGCATGTGGAATAAGGATACTTGCTCAAAGGTTTGCTCTGCCCGGGAATCGAACCCAGGTCCTATCGCTTGTAAGGCAAGTGCTCTAACCACTGAGATAATTATATCAAATACTGCAGATTTCCTCTCATTATTTTTAGTGACTGATTTCCGTTTATCTTAGTTTTCTGCTCAAAATAAAATATGGAATATTTCCTGTTGTAAAAGGGAAAACCCTTTACCACTTTTGATAAATGTTTAAACAGCAATTTTCCAAGCTTTGTTGCAGTAGTTTTATTATTTATAACTGTTGGAACAAGCTTGCTTGGAATCTTTTTTTTCCAAATAACTGATGTTCTGCTGTGGTGAATTTATACTGCCGGGAAAGGTGGCTTCTAAATAAGGTCAATAACCTCAAAAATCAGGTCTGCTTCAATTTCCGATTAGGACATTGGAATGAAAAGATCTGCCAGATTGTAATTAATTGGTGGAACAGGCTCAGTGGGCTGAATGGCCTCATCCTCCTGTTTTTCTATGTTCCCGAGCCATTGAACAGATTGCTGAGAGCTTTGAGTGGATCACTGGAGACCAGCTGAGTGTAATATGTGGGTTAGAACTGCACTGGGGAAAGTCCTGAATCCATCCCTCCCAGGTGCTGTAAGGAGGGTTCCAGTAGCATGTGTGCTGTTTGAGCCACCGCTTATGCTGCAGGTTGGACATCAAATTATGGGTATAAATGAAGCCATAGGTCGTCACTCCATTACAAATATACAGTTAAGTTACAGCCTTTATGTAACATCCAGGAAAATAGTAGCTCTTCTCAAGTCATTGTGGTTGTTATTCCCAGTTATCAACACAAAGCCACCTTACGTGTCTGGTTATTAAGCTTGTTCTCTGCAGGCGGAGAAGCCCCATGGTATTCTCAGTTTATCCTCTCTCCAAGGTTAAATACTCCACTAGCATTAAGGGCTTTTTGAAAAAAAAACACATGACATCTCATAGCATCTGGTAACAGAGTAATTCTTATTTATTCACGGAGAGGGGAGCACAAAACTGAAATCATTATGTTCACACCATGCCCAGCACTTGGAGGGGTTGTGAGAACTGAGCATATCAAATGTGGGCCAGTCATTAGTTTGGTTACACAACAGCACAGGAAACCAAATAGCTATTGGTAGTTTCTCGTTTGTGTGATTCCTTTAGGCATTTCTAGCATATTGGAAAAAAATATTTCATCTGCAACTTGACCTTTAAAATGGACAAAAATCAGATTGTCTGTCTGATTGTTTCAACTTTCCAGGATGGACATTTTATTGAGAAATAAATCTAGGTTGGATCATTGTCTAAGACTTCCACAATTACTAATTGTATTACTGTACACTTTAATTAGAACTGCCATCATTTGCTGAGGGCTTTGTTCATTTGTATCATTTGTTCAAAAATATTGCTTTGGAAATATTGATGCAAATAACTAATAATAATAACAATAATAATCCTTACATTTGATAAAACGCCTTTCACATTTGCAGGCCATCTCAAAGCGCTGCATACTGTGCAGTCAATGTGTATTTTGTAGGCCGGCACTGCAGCCTATTTGTGCACTGCAATGTCCCTTAAACGGTCATGATGCGAATGACCAATTGTACATGGGGAATTGTTGGCCGAGATACTGTGCAAAACTTCTTTTTTTCATTAGTGCGGATGGGTTCTTGGTACAGTACCTCCAGACATGAAGCGCATTGGATTATCTGTCGAGACAGTGAGTTCAACATCCTTACGTGGGTCTTGATGTCAAAGATTCCATGGCACTATTCGAAAAGGGAAGGGGGATTCTCCTGGCCAACACCCCCCAATATCATTTACCTCATGGCTGATGGTGGGACATTGTTATGAGCAAATTGACTGCTATGACCTCACCTACAAAATACACAGTCACTACACTTTCCTGTAAATCCTGTGAAGTGCTTGAGACGCCTCGATGACGTGATAAAGGAATGTTATTATTATCCTGTTTCACACGATTTGATTTCCAGGAGTTCAGCTGATGTTCACGCAAAATGTTGAAAAATAAGATTAAAAAATTCAACATAAAGAAAGATTATTTTGTCATATTTATCCTACTTATTTACAGCAATAATCCTTTTTGCACCGAATGCTGGTGCGTTTAATCTAAGACACATTTAGAATTTGAGAATTAGACACAACCACTGAGAAGACAGGAGAACGTCTGTCAGGAATAAGAATGAGGCAGTGACTCACTCCATTTTTAATACTGTTTTTGTATTCTCCCCCCCACCGCTTTCCTCCAACAGCAAATCTCAGTCCAGGAGCAGAACAAAAGGTTGTTTTCATCACAGCCCGTGTGCACCCTGGAGAAACGCCCGCATCATATGTGTGTCAGGGTGAGTCCTGCATTGCACTTCAAATTTACTTGTGGATTAAATAAAACATCACAGGCCTTACTGCTCCAGATGCCAACTATTGCTTTGCTTAGTTTAAATAAAGCCAGAGAACAGTGTCTGAAGAACATACTATACTCTTGCAACGTTTTTTTGTTAAGAAAATCTTTTGATTCATTGAAATTTATATAATATTATAATTGAATTTGCAATAGTAATACAATACTGTAATTATGACTGCAGAATGTTGGTGTTTAATCTAGCAGCCTTGACTGTTCCTTTTATTGTAGATTGCTATTATTACCTAAAAGAACCTGTAATATCTGGAATAACAATTCTCAACATGCCATTCTTCGGATTACATAATGATATTGGGAGCTCCACTGATGGTTCAGTGAATTTACAGTAGCTAAGCTGTACAGACAGAGAAAGTATTAGATTTTATCCCCAGTTTGTACTAAGTTAGCTGCCTTTGGCATGGCAGCAGAACTGTTGGCCTCAAGTTCCTCCCTTTCACATAAAGGAGGGGACATCAGCCAGACCGCCTTCTCTTGCTGTAAGATTGGTGAGAGTTGGGTGAGGACAGGATAAGACTCAGTTGTGATCCCCTGCATTGGCAGAGTCGGCTGACACGCACTGTCAAGGCTCAGAGTACAGTACAGTAAAGACCAGTTGGAAGAGACTCTGGGATACTCCACAGCATGAAGAGTGCTATATAAATGCAAGTTTGTTGTTTGTTGTTGACTCCTCATAGCTGGAGAAAAGGAGACAAACTCTAGCTTTCAAGGAGAGAAGAAGTTGGCAAGGAAGATAAAAGATGCATGAAAACCTGAACAAACTTTCCCTCATTATTTGTATGTGTATTGACTGTTTATTCATTGTTCTGTTGGATAAATTGGGATATTATTTCAAAATATCATAGAGACACTGGAAGGTGCGAAACTGATCTCATTTTCTAAAAGGTTTGCTCCCTATGTCTCACACTGCTCCAATTCCCACTGCCAATATATATCTCTAATTCTCTGTTGAAACCGTCGATACTATCTGCCTTTTTGGACTGTCTGCTTCATGCTTTTCCTGGTTAAAACTAAATTGTCTATTCACCATCCTGGCCTGAGCTTGCCCAGTGTTGCATTGTGCCTATTATATAATAATAATAATGAACCCCGCATTTGATATAGCGCTTTTCATGTCTTCTAGGCGTCTCAAAGCGCTTCACAGAATATGCTGTAAAGTGAATTGACTGTATATTTGTAGGTGAAACGCAGCAGCCAATTGTGACCAGCAGTGTCCCACAAACAGTCATGGATTCCCTTTAAGATACAGAAAAGTTTCATCAGATTATCCTTTAATTGTTAGTTGTTTAATTGGAAATTTAATTGTAAATTTCCCCAGGATCTAAGGTCTTTCCTTGTAGCTCTGACACCTAAACCTATACCTTATTTGGTTGCCTGCTATTGTGTTCTCTCCTGTGCAAGAATGCAAATGTTGGAGCCAACTGATGCATACATAAACCCATATTTCTCCCCGTGTCCCAGCCAACAATTCCCCAACTGAAAACAATGCTCATTCGCTTCATGGCAGTTTGGGATGTTGGCTGCAACACTCGGCTACAAATATACAGTCCCTGCACTTAACAGAAGACTCTTGAAATGTTTTGACATTGTAAGGCGCTGTACCAAATGCAAAGATTATTATTATCGAGTGCAGGAGAGGAAAATTACAATGTTAGGGGATAAAGTTACCTTTTGCTAAACCTTGGCCTTTATTTCCACCAGAGAGAGTTTATGTAGCAACATGAAATATTTTTAGAGCAATGAGTGCCCTTCATATAGATAGAATAAAAGGGGTGAAAAATGCAATGTGTGCTGCGATAATTACCATGGGTGATATAATTATTACAAGTCACATGTTTCACCCCATAGTTGGCTCAAAGAAGGATTAAGCATTACCACTGGATTACAGTAATCATTCATTTGTTCTTTGACATTAAGCAGGTTTCAAGCAGTGTATGTGAAAAATGTGTATTTTTTTATCCTTGCACAATTATTCGTCCGGGTGTTTTGTGTGGTCTAATAAAAGAAAGACATTAGGGTAGAAATACAAGTTCAATACTTGTAAATTCTCTTCCTCATAGGCCTAATAATGAGGATTGACAGGTACATGCTAGACAAAAGATTGTGACAGAATCTCTTTAGTATAATAATTTTCCTTCAGAACTAATTAAGAGCTCATCTTGCATGGTTTTCCAGATTGATTTCATTGAAATTACTCTTTAGTCTCATAAGGCAAATTGAAGGAAATTGCAATTGCTTTCTGCCTTTTCCAAGGGTAGAGGTTTATTATATCACATTCTTTGTACAGCAACAAGGTTAAATCACTGCATCCAGATTAAAATCTTATTGAAAGGGAAAATACTGCAGATGCTGGCAATCTGAAATAAAAACAGAAGTTGCTGGGAACACGCAGCAGGTCAGGCAGCATCTATGGAGAGAGGAAAGTGAGTTGATGTTTCAGTTCGATCACGTTAACTCACTTTCCTCTCTTCATCGATGCTGCCTGACCTGCTGAGTGTTCCCAGCGACTTCTGTTTTTATTTTAAAACCTTAATGAGTTTGTTTAAAATTGTATTTCTTTATTTCACCAATATGCTTCCAATCTGGGCTTGGATTCTATATGCCACCCACAAAGGCAGAAAAAAACGATTTCCTAGTTTGAACAAAAACAACCACAACAAGATTTCATTTATAGAGCGCCTTTCACGTCGGGAGGACATCCCAAGGCGCTGTACAGTTGGGTCAGGACCCGAGCAGGGGGGAAATGGTCAGGGTGAGGGGAGGGAAGGGAGGGAGCGAGGAGGGGGGAAATGGTCAGGGTGAGGGGAGGGAAGGGAGGGAGCGAGGAGGGGGGAAATGGTCAGGGTGAGGGGAGGGAAGGGAGGGAGCGAGGAGGGGGTAGAGAGTTGAGAGGGGAGCTGAAGGCTGAAGGTCAAAGAGAAAGGTCTTGAGACTGGCCTTGAAGGAGGAAAGGGAGGAAGCGGCGAAGGCACTGGGGATGGAGTTCCAGAGCCTCGGGGCTGAGAGGCTGAAGGTCACTGATGGTAGGGCGGTTGGGGCGGGGGATGTGGAGCAGACCGGAGCCAGAGGAACGGAGGGTACGGGCAGGTAGGTAGGGGATAGTAGGTTGGAGAGGTAGGAGGGAGCGAGGCCGTGAATGGCCTTGTAGGTGAGGATGAGGATCTTGAATTCGATCCTCTGGGGATGGGGAGCCAGTGGAGGCGAGCGAGGGCGAGGGTGAGGGCGAGGGTGAGGGCGAGAGTGATGTGGTCGCGGTGTCTGGTGCAGGACAGTACATGAGCTGCAGAGTTCTGAATAACCTGCAGTGTGGAGGGAGGGCCGGGAAGGCCGACGAGGAGAGAGTTCCCGTAGTCCAGCCTTGAGGTGATAAAGGGGTGGACCAAAGTTTCAGCCGCGTGAGGGGTGAGATAGTGCCGTAGTCTGACGATATTCCGCAGGTGATGGGAGGCGGTGCCAGTTGTGGTGCAGATATGATGGAGAAAGGACAGCTCAGGGTCGAACAGAACGCCGAGGTTCCTGATGGCTTTGAGAGGTGGAGAGTGCAGCCTTGGATGCTGATGCTGTCAGCGCCTGAGGTGCGGAGGCACTGACGCGAGCCAATCAGGAGGGCCTCAGTTTTGCGCACGTTGAGCTGAAAAAAGTAATAAATTTATATATAAAATTTATTTCATAAATAATAAATTTTTAAAAACTAACGAAGATCCTATCCCATGTTCCAAACCTGCAGTCAGAAAGTTTAGTTTGAATTGGAAGCTTGACCATTTTAAATTACAACTGGTTGCGTGAGCAAAATTACTACTATCTGTTTACGTGGTGAAAATTGGTTTGTAAGAAAAAATATCTAGTGAATAGGATCAGGTACCTTTAGCTGAATTTACTGACATCCGCATCTCTGAAACCAAGTGTGATGTTGGTGGCAGGAAATCAGCTCAGAATAGGGAGGCAAATACTGTAGTTTAAGTTTCACAATACCCAGGTCAGAAAGGCCCAGGAAGTATTGAGAATCCCAGGATTAAAGTATAATAATAACAATAATCTTTACATTATTATAACCCCTTTCCTGTCGGGAGGACGTCTCAAAGCACTGACCCAAGGAGAAAACTATTGTAAAAATCGTGTGCAATGGCCTTAAATACCATGAGGAGAACATGCTTGTATGTGGACAGAATTCATTCATTTGCTAAATAAAAATGGTTTTATGAACACTTAAGAATGTTAGACTAACAATCGTGACCTGCAGGATTGAACAGACACTAACTGGCAGCAGTAATAGTCAATTGATTTCATATCACTCTTATATTTGTTGAGTAAAACTAATTGTCACTATCAATGTGAGCTATCACATTCTGAGATCCTTGAAGAACTAAAGGCCATGGTGCCATCTGTAGCTGCAAGGATCTTTTTTTTGTGCAGATCTATGTGATTAGAATAGGCTTCAAAAATAAATTCCTTTAAAAAAATTTCCTTTAATCATTAAAAAAATAATAATGCACTCAATCCGCGACTGTTTGTGGGACACTGCTGTGCGCAATTGGCTCTCATGTTTCACCCGCAAAATATACAGTCAATTCATTTTATCCTGTGAAGCGCTTTGAGACGTCTCAAAGACGTGATAAGGCGCTATATCAAATGCAAGGATTATTATTATTATTATTTGCTAATTTATGCAAATCATCCAAAGATTTTAAAGCTAGTTTCACCTACTATTTTGTTTGGAAGCTGTCTGCCTCAGAACCCACCACCATCCTTAAGTGATACTATTGGTGTGATATCTATTCATTTTGTGTCTCGTATGGAGTACACACTTTCTCCTCAGAGAGATGCATCCTATTTAATTTAGTCTGTGGCAATGGAGGACCATTGGGACACTGCAGGAGGGTTTTGGAAGAATGAACTTTGTCACAGAAATTCATCTCCTTCCCTACC